TTTCAAGATAGGATGTGCTTTTGGTGGAAAAATTCAACCAATTTTAATTTACACTTAGAAGATTTGAGTTACGAAAGAAAGTATACCATCGTAAGATTTGAGTTGAGAAAGAACATCTTGCCAACGGCCAAATACTATTTAAACATTATCTTTCGCATCCTAATCAGTAGGGGTGAGCATGGGTAGGTCCGGATCAGTTATTTACTCATATCTGTACTTGTTTTAAACAATGACAAGTAAAAGATTTTAATACCCAATACTTATGTAAGTATTGAAAATTTATATTGATTACTTTAGTTTGTTAAGTACAAGTATACTTATAAATATATTTACATACTTGTTAAAATTTAAACTCAGAGTAAATAAATTAATATATAATTACAAGTTTATACATATAATACAAGTTTATATATAAAATAAAATATGGAGTATATACACTCACGTATAAATAAGTTTATATATATGATAACAAAAGAAATACAAACAAAGATTCACATGATTTTCCTTTAATTGAATCTTCACTACCAGAAGAAAAAAAAAAGAAATATAAATATTTTAATTTCATAATATTATATTACAAATTAAGTATATAAAACTAGAATATAAGTTAGGTATATGAGTTAGGTATATGAGTTAGGCATATGAGTTAGGCATACAGATCAAGTTTATGGATCAAATATACAAGTTATGTATATAGGTATTAACCTTCATACCTAATATTTACTCAATACTTAGTAAGTATATATTTTTCATATTTGATATTTAATTGTCTCTTTATAAATACATATAAAACACATATATAAACGAGTCAAATACGTATATTAGATATTTCCGTACCTGATGCTCAGCCCTACTAACCAATGCAACGCATGCGTTCATGGACCTCTGGATGGGCCTCTACAATTGTGTGTGTGGCTGGAGCACACTGTTGAATGGCTGTTTCAGCAAGGCCCATTCCAAATCTAATGTTTAGCATGTGAACATCTCCAGAGCAAACAGCTTTTGCGCTATTCATCCGTGTGGCCCAGTGGCTATGCTTTTCTTTGATAAGCAAAGTGAAGACAGTCACTGGAGGTATAAGCAGGGACGTAGCCAGAAAATAATTTTAGGGGACGAAGTGTTATTTGAAATGTGT